CTCAGAAAGCTCTTGTTGAGGGATTCTATTTGTCCCCTAAATTGCCTAGTGCTTTTTTCCTAATGGTTTTGCTAAAATGGGAATAGAATACAATAAAAGCATATGATTTTTTTGGTCCATAGTCTGTATTAATTCTGTGTTATTATAAGTAAGAATGATGCTAAATAAATAGAAACAAATTGTGTTTGCCTGCCCACGTTTATTTTTCAAAAAATAATCTGGATCAGTTACGCTTCTAGACTTTTGGCACTAAAGTTTCTGAATGGAAACAATTACATAGCCAGTTAGAAAATATTCTTACTTTGCATGATAGAACTAAGTTCCACTCATTTTTTTAAATTTTGATGTGAGAAAATCAACTGAGAAAATATGTTGTAGAAACTGAAAGATATATTTTAGTCATCATGATTCAACAGACATATTTGTAACTGAAGTGTGTTGGAAGTTCAAAAGTAAAATGTAAATACTATAAATTAAAATTACTCATTGGAAATTTGTAGTGTTTTTGATAAGATAAAATCTGGAAAGAAGCCATGAAAGTCTTGTTTTCATTTAGTGTAGGGTATAAAGTACTTTTAAATAGATTATTCTTGTTTACTCTTTATAAAGAGTATAAGGATTATAAATGAAGAAAGACTCATGAAGCTGAGAATGTTCTGGAACATTCTGGAAAAATGTGGAAGAAAACAAATCTGCAGTCAAGGCTTGTTAATATGAAATAAAAGCAGAGGTGAATACCTAATCGAATTATCTGCATAAATTGCTTATTTAAAAGTCTCAGAGGAAGGATCTGAACCTTCTGCTCTCTGTTAATCACTAACCAAGACCTCTAAACCTATGAAAAAACAAAGGTTCTTGATGTTTCCTATCAGAGGCTGGAAATGTTAATAAGTGTATGTAGGCATTTACCTTATCAAGTACAGCAGTAGAAAATGGAGGGTCACATAGGTTTCTTCACTGAAAAATGCTTAACTGAATCCAAGTTGCATATTCTGTACAGCTTTTCCTCAACTTTTGATCAGAACTAAGCCAAAAATTTCCATTGTTAAGCAAAACAGTTAAGTGAATTTTGCCCCAATTTACAACCTTCCTTGCCACAGTTGTTAAGTGAATCACTGCAGCTGTTAAGTTAGTGACATGGTTAAGTAAATCTGGCTTCCCCATTGTCTTTGCTTGTCAGAAAGTTGCAAAAGGTAATCACATAATCCTGGGACATTGCAACCTTCATAAATGCATGCCAGTTGCCAAGTGTCTGAATTTTGATCATATGACCAGGCATGTAACGGCCCTAAGTATAAAAAACAATCATAAGTCACTTTTACCAATGCCATCATAACTTTGAACAGTCACTAAACGAATGGTTGTAAGTCAAGGATAGCCTGTAATGTCAGAAATTTTGGGAAGAGAGAAAGGAGATTCCTCTGGAGCTAATTCTGGGGACATTAATCTATTAAAAATATTGATTAATTTTTGTCAGTGATGGGTTATTTAAAGAATATAATTGCTAAAAAAATCAAATTGTTATTTATATCTTTGGTTTTAGTCATTGTTTGTGCATTATTATCTTTAATTGCACTAATACTATTTCTTCCTTTAGATTTTTTCAATTTATTTGGAAGCATTCTAGAATTATCTTATTTGTAATATCATTGCTTAACAATTTGAGAGGAAATTTTATCTACCTCTCAAATAATCTAACTCTCTTCTGTTTTCTTGTTGTTTATAAATACTAGTTGATCCAGTTCTGTTGTGTTTTGCTAGTTAATATCTGAATAAAGTTTACTTGCTATTTGTGATTATCTTTTTAAAATCACGCTCAACTGATGTATGCATTGTCTTAATACTGCCTTCATGTCATCTTACTTTATTCTTCATTTATATTGTATTCTTGAAAAAAAGTCAAAAATTGAGCTAATTGCTACTTTGCTACTTTGCATTGTATACATAGGATTAAAACACCAATTAGTAAAAATTTGGGGGAGATAAGAACTATTAATAAGCAGAGTTGACTGTTCTTCAGTTAGGCTTATTACATTTATTTACAGGATTGAATCTCAAGCTAAAGATAAGGAATTTACTACATACTTAATTTTAGCAGCTAAAATAATAATCGCCAAATATTGGAAAAATCCAAATTAATCAACTGAGATATTAATAAGGCCTCTTCAATTACTACACTAAAAATAAATTACAGCACAGTTAATAAGATATCAAAGAAGGAACTGCAATTCTATCAAATTTGGATGCATTGTATCATTTATCTCAATAGCAAAAAAATACTAGTATTAATTTTTTAAATATGTAGTAAATATATATGCATATAATGCCTGTGTTTTTACTTAAGTATTTAGTGGACTTTTAAATATTTTCTGTAACTTTTTTGTGAATCTATGAATCTATGTTATGTAGTTACTTGATCATGATATAGTAGTTATAATTCAATTAAAAAAAATACCCGATAAGTGTCAGATTCTATTAGGACCAGATAGGAGACCACAGGGAAATAAATCCCTAAATTGTGGAGTAGACCAGGAAGTTATATCTATCTCCTGCAAGAAAGCTATGGCAAACCACTTCCGCACTGTTGTGTAGAAAACTATGTGGTCATGTGTTGCCATGAAGTCACTAAGAGTCAAAGTCTACAGGAAGAAGCTTTTAGTGCTATGATGCTTGCAGTGGGAGTGGTTAAAACCTGTTTTTCAATGTACTCTCCCCTTTGATCTCCAGATAAGGGAATTTTCCAGGCAGGAAGACGTAGGGTTTATTTGTTTATTATTTTAAATGCTTTTTTATGTGCTCTATACTGTTAAGCAAATAGCATACATGATATTTTATTTTATTTTTTTAAAATAGCAGCATGGTCTCATATTTTCCTTATAACTATAGTAATGTACAATATCTCTTAGCTTATTTTTTTATTTTATTTTTAAACACAAATAAACATGCCTAATACTACAAGTTCTACAAGTTCTGTCTACTTTTACCATATATTCATCATGCTCTGAAATGCACAAATATTTTATAAACCTGGTAGACAATGTCTTCTAATCAGTAGCTGCATACAGAACAGCCTGCTCAGGTAGAAAACTACAAAGGGATTTTAGTGCCTAAAATATTAAGGGGCCCCCAGGTCCCCTTTGTACTGAACCCTGGTGCTGAATTTGGATGAAAGAGCCATATGTTTGCTATATGTTTCTAAGTACTACAGCTAAAGTCCTAAGACATCCAAGGTAGCATGGGAGACATTTTTCACTTCAGGATTACATTCCCTAAGTCGCTTTTTAAAAAAAGTTTCACAGCTTTTAAGACTGTGGATTTCAGCTCCCAGAATTCTCCAGCTGGCATGTTGGCTGTGGAATTCTCAATTAAATCCACACATCTTAAAAGTTGCCAAGGTTGCGAGACTCTTTCCTAAGAGAAGACTGGCAAGCAGCCATTGATGTTGGGAATGTCAGAATCAAGACGGAGCAAAAAAAAAAAAAAGATAGATGAGGGCATTCAAATGTGTCTCTCAAGACACTTCCTTGTGAGAAAGTTACTAATTTCTCAACAGTTCCATACTTCTGGGATTTTAGGATGTCAGTAGCATTTGAGATCTGGGTTGATTTATTTTTGGCTCAGGTGTAGTATATTTGTTAAGTAAATGTTAAGTAAAACTCTTCCTTTCCTTCCTTGCTAAAGTGCTGTGGACATCATTGACAGTCTGTTTTCCCATTTGTATAAACTTTTGTCTCCTTAGTCTAATGGCTAAGACACCAGGCTAGAAATCAAGAAACCATGAGTTCAAGTCCCGCCTTAGCCATGAAAGCCAGTTGAGTGACCTTAGGCCAGTCACTCTCTCTTAGCCCAATTCACTTCACAGGATTGTTGTGGGGAAGAAAGATATGTTGGGTATGTTTGCTGCCTTGAATTATTTTTAAAAATAATAAATGTGGAATATAAGTAATCAAATAAATAATGATTTCTGTGTGCCAGGTTTTCAAGTGGAAAGGTGGCTTGGTAGATTGTCACTTCCGTCTCATAAGAACTGCTATGACAATGGAATTGGGGGAAGTGGATTATACAACATGCTATTACAGAATAACTTCATGGAAACCTGCATGGGTTTGTCCCAGGTTTGCTGACTATGATTAAGTGGGAGATATTGGGAAATACCTGTCTTTTGAAAACTAGAATGTATAGTGATGTACACAGAAATCATTACCCAAGGAAAGCTAGGTCTCGTGCATAGAGATAACTTTATTAGCAGATTCCAATCTTCTAAAATGGTGTTTCTCAATCTCAGCAATTTTAAATGTGTGGACTTCAACTTTGAATGGTCTACAATCCCCATTATCCCCAACCAACATAGTTTGGCTAACATGAAATCTATTTGTTGCAATCCATTTGTATTACATAAACAATCTAGTTACAGTTGCATATGCTTTTCTGAAAGGAAGAATAATGCCCAGAAATCTTACTCCTTAAGTATGTCTTCTGAGAACCCAAGAAATCATAATCTCTCCATTGCAAATGCAGTTAAGTTTCTTAAATTTCACTGAAATAAGTAGACTATAAATTAATTACAGTTAACCTAACTTCAGTTGGCTGCATCTATATTCCCATTTAATCACAGCATAAACATGCTTGAATTTTTTTTTGCTGTCTCTTGCAGAAAAAATACACATCTATAACAGTTATTTCAAAAATCAGTTGCTACTTTAAAAATAAATAATGCTTTAATATGACATATCATAGCTCCCAAATGAATATATTTATTAATAATTTGTCAACTGAAAAATAATTTCTCCTTCAACAATCCAGTTGCTATCCACTTATTATTTTATTTATGTATTTAAGATTTATTAGCTGCTCATCTTATAACCAACTCTGGGCACCTTCTGTTCAACACTTGAAACAACACCCAAAACCATTTTAAATGTATTAAGCTAAACACATTAAAAAAAACATTAAAAACAATAAAAACCTTGCACCAAATCAAACTTCTGATGTTACTTAACTGTGACTTTTATACGCAGGTCCAAACCAGAATGTCCTGTGATGCTTTTAGAAAACAATCCGCTTTGAACTCTAGTACACCTTTAGTAGAACAAAACTCCACATTGTGCAGCAGCTTTATATTGTTCAGACTGAGCACCCAGAAGGCATAATGAAGACTGCCCATCATTAATTTTAAAGCTCCAGTCTTGTGAAAGTAACTACAGGTAGCCCTAGACTTATAGCCAATCATTTAATCATTTAATGACTGTTCAAAGTTACAACACCACTGAAAAAAGTGATTTGGTTTTCAGACTTTTGGACCATCGCCATGTGCACGGGCACTTGGCAACTGGTATGTTTTTATGATATTTGCTGTCTCCCGGGGTCATGTGATCACCATTTGTAAGCTTCCCAGCTGACTTCTGACAAGCAAAGTCAATGGGGGAACTCAGATTTGTTAATGACCGAACGATTCACTTAACAACTGCAGCAATTCATTTAACTGTGGCAAGAAAGATCATAAATTGGAATGAAACTTCACTTAGCAACCGTCTTACTTAGCAACATAACTTTGTGGCTCAATTAAGGTCGTAAGTCAAGGACTACCCTTCCTGCATCCACCTTTTCTTTCTTGACAATCTAAAATTTTATAGAATCAGTCTGTATTAATAACGCCACTAGGTAATGAATGTTACCCTTAGTCTTAAGGATCCAATGCTCCTGAAGGCAGGAATGTTACTTGGTGATACAAAAATTATAAAATAGAATAAATTAGAGGAAGGGAGAGGGGTGGAAGATAAAGAATGCTGAGGAGGGGACCTTATTTATTGGATGTATATAGCCTCCCATCTCTCCCTTACATGACTCCACGCGGCGTGCAATAAAATAGATAAAATATTAGGTAGCAGGCTGGTTTACCATCGCTGGCTGATCCTTCGCTAATGTCAGAGGATCTTCTAGCCTCAGCATTATAGTTATTATTAGAGAGATTCCGGAGTTTGGCTCCTGCAATTTCAACCCGCAGAGGGAAGCAGAGAGGCTTGAAAGCTCCTGCCTTTTGTTCGAGTTATTATGCGCTTGTTGTACACGCTGCGCCCTCTAAAAACCGCGGAGGGGTCAGGCAGCGGAGGGGCGAGGTCGCGAGCGCGCTTGCATCAGTCGGTTTCCTTCCCGAGGGAGGGAGGCAGGAGGGCTTTTGTGGATTGGCACTCTAAATGACTTTGCTCTTCAGGCGGCTCGATGACGCGAGTGCTTCGGAGCTGGGAGTGTCTGCCGGTGACGTCTTCTGCGAAAGGCGGGTCACGTGACAGAGCTCCATTCATTTTAAAAAAAAAAAAAAAGAGGAAAGAAAGAAAGAAGCGCCTCACCCATCCTATAAAAGCCACGCCGGTCGGCTGAGCAAGCAAACAGCAAGCAAGCTTCCTCAGAACAGCAGCACTTCAGCCAGCAAAACGCGCCAACCAGCTACCAGCGCGCGAATCAGACCAGCGAAGACCGGATAAAAAAAGCTTCACCTCCCGGCTCAGATCCAGCTCATTGGGGAGGGGGAAATACAGAAATTACCCGAACGGAATAAATCATCCCAGGCTGCTTTGCCAAGAAACCCAGCCAAGCGGAGGAGTGTTAAAAAAGGCGCCGAGGAGGGAGACCGAAAGGACAAAGGGGGTCTTTTGCCCTTCCGCGCTGTCCGCCCTGACTCGAGCGATGGTCAACATGCAAGTGTGCGCCCTGGATTGCGAGACGCTGCGCGACCTGCTCCAAGACCGCGGCTTACAATGCCTGGTGCTGGACTGCCGATCCTTTTTCGCCTTCAACTCCTCGCACGTCCGAGGCTCTTGCAATGTCCGCCTCAGCACCATCGTGCGGCGGAGGGCGAAGGGCGCCGTGGGCTTGGAGCACATTCTCCCCAACGAGGAAGCCCGCGCCCGCCTGCACAAGCGCCTCTACAGCGCCGTGGTGCTGCTGGATGAGCGCAGCGCCGATCTCCAGGCGCCCAAACGGGACAGCACTCTCCAGCTGGCTCTTAACACCCTCTGCAGGGAAGCCCGGGACGCCCGTATCTGCTTCCTCAAGGGTGAGTTTTCGCTCCGGAGTCAGATCGCCTTCTCTCTGGGTTCCCCCGGCCCCGACCCTCGGGTTTACAGAGGGGGAACTAACCCGAATGGAATTTGGAGTTAAAGGAAAGCCATAGTTTTCAGAAGAACGGCTGATAAGCTGTGACTTAACAGCGGCTCCCTCTTTGGACGCCCGACTCCGGAGGGACTACTTGGTCACTGCCACCACATTCCCGTCTTCTGAAGCCTGCCCCAGGAACCGGCTTTGTTTCTCCAAATATATTAACAGCCCGGTTTTCTCTTTTTATTTTCTTCCAGGAGGTTACGAAGCCTTCTCTTCCACCTTCCCTGAGCTGTGCACCAAGCCCTCGGCCCCTAAAGGCCTCACTTTGCCGCTCAACACCACCGTTGCCCCTGGCAGTGCCGATTCCAGCTGCAGCTCCTGTGGAACTCCTCTCTATGATCAGGTCAGTTGACATCCTTCAAAGGAGGCTAGGTGGCCATAGAGGTGTGGGTGTGGGTGTATTGGTGGTAGGTGGAGTAGTTACATTGGCCCATGTAAAAGTTGTTTCAGTTTTGTATTTGACAAGGGCACGTAATGATGAGAACAATCATTATGGAATAGTGGCAATTTTTAACTGGGGCTTAACAGATCCTGTTCTTCTCTCTTTCAGGGTGGTCCAGTGGAAATCCTACCTTTCCTGTATTTAGGCAGCGCCTATCATGCTTCCAGAAAAGACATGTTGGATACTTTGGGGATCACCGCCTTGATCAATGTCTCTGCAAACTGCCCTAACCATTTTGAAGGGCATTATCAGTACAAAAGCATCCCTGTGGAAGACAACCACAAAGCTGACATCAGTTGCTGGTTTAATGAAGCTATTGACTTCATAGGTAAATGCTTTTTCTTTCTGCAGCTGTCCCATTTGGATTCCAAATTTATAATGTCCCGCGTGCCAGTTTTTTAGGAGTCTTCTTTGGTAGATATCTAGGGAGGATTAAGACAGCAAAAATTAAAATATATCTTTACTTCTGCTGATGCTTTGAGTTTCTTTGGACAATAGTTCTGTACATGCAAAGAACATTGAGAGTTTCATGCGTGACGTCACTGAATTCAGTGATGAGAGTGTTGTAAAGAGTCGCTAGTAATCTGATCCCTTCTCACGCTGACAGCATTTTCAAGGTAGCCTTTTCAGCAAAAATTAAGTGGCCAATTAGAATAAATTACTTGCATGTTCAGACAATGCATCCCCAACCTATCATTGCTGTCTCCCTTCCTAGGAAAGATTCTCCCTTCAGGCCAAAGCATCTTGGAAAAAGATGTGCTAAGCTTTATGTTTTCTTCATTGTTTCAGACTCCATCAAAAACAATGGCGGACGAGTATTTGTCCACTGCCAAGCTGGAATCTCCCGCTCCGCAACCATTTGTCTTGCTTATCTTATGAGGACCAACCAAGTCAAACTGGATGAAGCCTTTGAGTTTGTGAAACAGAGAAGAAGCATCATCTCCCCTAACTTTAGCTTCATGGGCCAGCTGTTGCAGTTTGAGTCCCAAGTCCTTGCTCCTAATTGCTCAGCAGAGGCTGGAAGCCCAGCTATGTCTGCACTGGACAGAGGAACATCCACTACAACTGTCTTCAATTTCCCTGTTTCCATCCCTGTTCATCCTGCTTCCAATGCACTTAACTATCTTCAGAGCCCCATCACCACATCTCCAAGCTGTTGAAAGGCAGGTGCCAACTGACTCTGTACAAAGACTTGACATTTTGTTACCTGAAAAGTGCAATAACTTTAGGAGGAGATCTATTAGTTTATATGGGGCTCCTCTTGTTACATCTACAAAGCAATACAGAATCACCAGCAGATCAACATTTCTGACTCCAGAAAGCGAGGTTCTTTCTGATAGATGATCTTGACAGAGAGGCATTTTTGACCAATGTTTGGATGCCCACAAAGTAGACAAAGCACAAAGGACTTTGCTTCCTACTCCTGAAAAATTCCCATTACTGTCTTTTTCCCTTTGCTGTTTCAGTAGCAAATCCAACAGAATTCTCATTCTCTCGGTATGCTGTCCCCTTGTACAAGAACATCTTTGTATTTATTTATTTTTTCTCGTGTAATTGCAATGAGTGTTCGTCTTCAAGTCTGAATTTTCATTTTCTTGTCTTTTTTTTTTTTAAAGAAACAAAATACCTCAGGTGGGTTTTTTTGGTACTGTAATCCTACAAAAACATCTTAAAACTGTTTCCAAAGCACTGACATGGAAAGCACAAAGAAGTGTTGTGAGGGTTTTTTGGTTGCTAGCGGTTGTATGCTTGCTGAATTTATTTATGATGTGAAATAATATATTTTCTTCTTACAAAAGAAGACAGGTTTTGTAATAATTATGCCTTTTATACAAACCAAATAAATTATGACATTTCTACTAAAAAAAATCCTTTAAATGTTTCCCCCCCTTTCTTTCTTAGTAATGACAAGATCAGAAAGCAGACATTTCTGGCTTGCTAGCTGATGGACTCTTATCAAGTTGCTCCTTCCCACAATCATGACAGAACCCTGGAAATCTATGTTGCCCCTAAAAACACTCCTGCCTTCCCATTCAGAAAAGATGAGAAATGGGATCTTGTACTCAGCAAAGGAAAGAAAAACACATAATTAGTTCTTCTAAGCAGTGGATGTCAGCCAGATGATTAGTGTTGTCAGATCTGATTGTGTGGATCATCCAGATGAGAAGGAGGAAAAGAGATCCAGTGCCACTATTAAGATGACCTACATTATTAACATGGCCAACATTAATCATATGAAAATATCTATGACTATTTGATGAAAAGCATTCCATTGCTTCGACTGCAGCTCCTATCATCTTTCAGTTATCTAAGTAAGGATGGGAGGTAGAGTTCAGCGTATAATATGTGTATCTCCCTGGTTTAATGGTTACCATTTCTAATGAACTCTTGCTTACTGCCAGAGACAAATCATTAGGAAAGTTCCAAAATGCAGCATACAATTTCCATTAAAATCCTTTTAAAGACTGGGCCATATTATAATAACTTCCTCCCCCCCCACACACACACCTTTTTTTTCCAGAAGTTACAATTCTCTGAAAAAGAAAAAAAAGGGGATAAAGGCCTGTCTGAGTATTGGGCCATGGAAATAGACATGGGCAAAACAATTTATTAAATGTACTATTTTTACAGATCATGCTTGAAGCAACCCATTTTTATTTTGAAGATTTTTTTTTCTCCATAAGAATTCAGAGTCATTTCCAGCTGACACTGCTGTTCACCTCAAAATGTGCTGCTATTGCAGTCCTGTTGCTGACTGAGTGATGCTTTCTGTGACTCTTCTATCAGATGCCTCAGGGATGGAAGTTGATTTGGTTGACCAATTTCTTCTTAATCTCACTCAGACATTGGAAGTAAGTTGATTATTGTTTTCATTTTATAAATGAGCTGGAAAGAGAGTTTTAACATTTCATGAATGATCTCAGATAGGTTTTGTGGACCAGCATTAACATTTCTTCTCTGCAATATTTTATTCACACGGCATGTTAAGCCATGGTTTATTTAGCAATGGTTTATTTCTCAACTTCAGAGGTCTAGACTCCCACATGATGCTAAGTCACAAATCATGATTTAAAACCATACTGAATGGGTTTACAGAAGACTAAATCATATAACATTTTGTGATTTCCTTGTGATTTAGCAAGTTGTATGAACCCATCACAAATTGAAGCTACTGAACCACATATGCAAAACCTGGTTAATTCCAGTGGGCAGGTGCATTTACATAATATATTTTTTTACAGAAAAAGTATGAGATGATTAATTTATTTTTGGTTTTGTATGTTGTGAGCCCACATATTCTGATTGATTCAGCAAGCAGTTATTAACATACACTCCAATTTAGGATGATGTGTGAATCCAGGACTGGCATCTAATCGGTAGGAATTTCACAACTACCTGCTTTTTCTTCTTTAATGGATGCTATTCAGTAAAAAAAGAATATGAAAAATACAGGAAATATTGGAGGGTTGCAAATGGAAGATGCTAATAGAGTCCTTTGAAACTTTCTTTGAACAAGGTAGAGTGACTGAAGAGTTCAGACGTGGTCTGTATGGACCCTCCATCGCTGGACTAGATGACAGGATCTCAGAGTTACTTGATTTGCTATAAAATCATGCTCTGATATCTAAGAAGAAATATGAGCATTGATCAAATCTGTACTTTTACATTGGAGGGGAGGTATCACAATTGCCATCATAGTCCTGTGTTCATCTGATTTTTCCTTTAGAAAGTTTTGTCTGTAAATATCTTGAACTGTATAGAGTGAAAAAGTTAACATTAGGTGTTATTTCTTCACCCAACATGCATTTAAAGCCATACAAAGACATGTTAATAAAAATAAACAAAAGTCTCTGACATTATAGATTCAGGAATTTCAGAATTCCAAATTCCCACACAGCCATAAATTGAATGAATTTGATCTAAGTCTCAATCAGTGACACTCTCTGATTGTAAAAATAAATCACATTGAAACATAACATCAGATATTCTATTCAGAATAAATACACTGAGCCTTAAACTAATCAATATTTTAGTTTAGTGTATTGTGTGAAGCCAGTCCACCTGGTTAGTTGACAGTTCAGCATCACGTATCAGAAAGTTTTGTTAATTGAGAAAAATATGATTAAGGATGTCTTCTGATCATAACTGTAAAGAAGGTAGATAACCATAATTACTTTCACTGTGTTAACATTCCTATAACTGTTATAGACTGTGGGTGATTTAGTTATGTTTAACTGACAAAGTCATTATACTATATACTGTATACAGTACATTACACTAAAATACAAGTAAAGTATGGTTTAGGACTAGGTTTACACAATACATTAAACCAAAACCAACCCACAATAATACTTAGCACAATATGTGAATTCAGAGTATTGGAAGATGCCTTGATCATAGTTCAGAACACATACAATTCAACTAGATTGGGTTCTGTGGTCTTTACTTAGCAAAGGCCTGATCCCTGGGCATTAAGGTCAGGACCTTCTTAGATGTGGAACCACATTGAGAGAATTTCGTCTCTGGGAAGCCCTCTGTCTTCCTTTGTTGTTTGAAAATATTTTCCTCCCAGAAGACTTTATTGTTGCTCTTACCTTTCTGTTTTATTACTATATGTTTCAAGTCTTCTTCTTAATGCAAGCTGCTTTGAAATATTAGTTCGCAAAGTGGATTTGAAATATTAGTTCACAAAGTTAAGCAAATAAGTTTTAAAAAGAGCAGGAATGAATTCTATCCTCCTTTCATCACTCCACTCCCTCATGTTTCTTATGTAACAGCGTCTTCTGTTTTGGTACGGTGCCGGGCAAAGTGATTCTACCTTTAAACTGAGCGCAGTCAATGGAAAAATACATCTTGGCATCCACCACAATTTGTCTGATTAAAGAAAGCTCATACAGATCTGTTTAATGGAATTTCCAAAGAGATTTCATTCAGCAAAGGGTAGGAAAAAGAATTGTTTTATCATTTTGCAGAACAATTCATTTCTTACTTGGCAGTCAAAGCAAGTTTTCGATCTAAGCCAGTACTGGATGATGGGCACACAGAAGTATAATTTGGGACATAGTGTAATAGTCCTGACTGAACTCATTCCAGCTGGTTGCAAATTGTGTTCTGGAAGCATAAGGAAAAACAGTTATTTTCAAAAAGATTTTGCAGCTATTTGTGTTTGGTGATTTATCACAGATAAGGAAGCCAAGGTTATTTTCAGCAGCTTTTTTTTTTTTTCCTGGCTCTCAGTGCCCCTAACCTTTCAAAAGGAAATGGTATACATACAGGCTTACACGCAATTGTAAGTGCTTGCTCTGCTTCTTATATTAGAACACTCTTGATTATTAAAATGTATTGCATCATCTAGCATTTATGTAAAGCCTTTTTATGTTAAATCTTTCGGATTGTGATCCAAAAGCTTTTTTTATAATGGTTTATTTATTATTTCCCCAATTTATCCATCAGCCAATGTGTGTATAACTGTAATTACACAGTTGCCTATATCCCCATGGAAACAACTAGGAGTTTCCCTCTTTGTGCGGAAGGCAATAACATCATTTCCTGTTGCTGATAAAACAGTTTGTCATGAAAGGGTGAAAAGGGTTCTCTTGGTGTTGGCAGGAACTTGCTTCAGGATGAGCTGGTTGCCACGCAGTGCTGCAAACACATATAAGCTTAGCAATAAACAGTGTGGTTTGGTTTTTTTTAACATATGGGAGGGATTAGGAGGGGAAAAAATGCCATTTGAATGTATATGAGCAGGCAAATTTTTAATACACAGTAAGAAGTTCTTGAAAACAAGCACACTGGAATCCTTAGCCAGGAATCTTAGTATGCAAATGTACATCTAATATATGAATCCCACTGTGTGCATTTACTCACATATATGCCCCTGCATAATGATGTGGGGAGAAGGAAGAGCATTTGATAAGAATTCACAATATTGCAATGCCTTTCTTTAACTTTCTGCATTGTGACATTGTGTACATATTTGTTTGTTGATGCCCATGTGTGAAGTATCTAAATTTGCCCACAAATTTGTTTCATTGGTTGAAACAAAATTACATCCCAACCATTAAGTACACAAATACAAATCAATGAATGACACCTCTTCACAAGCTTGAGCCATTTATTTGGTACCTCCAGCCCATCATTAAACTTAGCTCTTACTAAGGAAATCATAATAGAATAAACCAAGCTACTTTTTCTCCCATTAGTGTATTAATGATTTTGAACATTGGTGCTGGAGAGGAGTCCTGAGAATACCACAGGTACCCGTGAAAATAAACGAATGGACTTTAGAACAAATTAATCCAGAATTCTCACTTGAAGCACAAATGTTCAGATTCAAATAATCATGTTTTGGATACCTCATGCAAAACCCCATCTCTCTTGAGAAGTCTGTAATTCTGGGAAAGGTGGAAAGGAAAAGAAGAAGAGTACAATTAACAGCAAGTTGGATGAACCCCACTACAAAGGCAATGGGTATTCCATTGGAAGGACCAGGTTAGGCACAGAATATCTTAGAGAAAATCTATCTACATGATCACTAAAAATTAACACAAGCAGCCTCCTCCTCCCTTATTTCATTATAGCTGGGTTATCAGGACAATGTTATTCAGCGGCACAGGGTGCAGTATTATTAGTAAACAGTAGGATTACCAGGACAAGGTTATTCAGTGGCACAGGGTGCAGTATTATTAGTAAACAGACAACGCTCAGTTTTATATTTATTTTCCTGGCTGGTTAGGCAGTACCATTCAGGGACTCACCCTGCATCTGAAGGCTGTGAGAAACAGATTGGGGAGGAACCAGCTCTGACTTACCTTAGCCAGACAGAGTGGATTTGGGATTTTGATCCCCCTTCCCCCATATCTGGT